TACTATTTCTGCATCTAGTGCTACTGAAAAATTACATTATGTATCATGATGAGATTGACCGAGGCGCCAGCAGATGGGAGGCGAAGGTTTGCAGGCCATGTACGCAGCAGTATTCTGGAAAGGACGACGAGGACGAGGACAAGGAGAAGAAGAAAGGGAAAGACGGCAAGGACAGAATCGCGTCTCATGGTTGAAGTCGCTGTTCTCTGTCTTAAGAAGTTAGGCAATGTCTCGGCACCATTTTCGTGGCAATTGCAGAGATCCATGCTTCGTAGTCACCTCACTCTGCTCGCGACAATTTCTGTTGTTCCTGTTGCTGTTGGCGGTGGCTGGCGCTGGCTGCTGCTAGTGGTGCTGGTGGTGGTGGCGGCGGCCCTGACGGTATTGTTCGTAGTGACATTGTTATTCGTGTTGGTGTTTGTGTTGGTGTCGGCGAAGGCTGGCGTTTGCGTTCGTTAGATATGTTTTTGCTGTTGGTTGCTGTTGCTTGTTGCTGCAAGTGGTGTTGCTTCTGCAATTGGGCCGTTTACAGCAGGGCGAGCGGCCATCCTCGATGGAGCGGGTTCTCATACCTTGGAATCCAACCAAGATACGCGCAAAAGCGTTTTGTGTGCAAAAACCTTGTCTTCGGGCCTCGGGAACTTGCAAGGACATTAGTCGATCCAGAAGCCCGGGTGGTGGCGAGAAGAAGAAGGTGGTTAAAGACAAGGACCAAGTTGCTATTCGTACCAACAGCTAGTGTCCGACCTCGCACCTCACGTGACGGGGAGTTACATTGAGTTTTTTCGGTTTTGGGGCCATGGACCTTAAACCATCAAGGTTTTGACGAGTGGTTTCTGAACGATCTAGAGTCTCCCCTCCTCTTCAGTGCTTTCTGCGCAGGCTGTAGCATTTGAAGGCTTCAACTGCTGAATGCTAAGGGCTCTCGGAGGCAGGGGCAAGACAGGGTCTAGAGCCTACAATTTGGATTCAACCTGGTCTTCAGAGTCTCGCCAACTCCTCTTGGAGGCTTTGAAGTGAGGCGCAGCGCCTGGGCCCTAAACCCCCAAAGCCTTACACTCGCAAGTCCCAATAGCGTGAATTCCGCCCTGCAAGGACGGCAAGCCCATGAATGACCCAGACTTCAACTGGGAAAAGGCCTGTCCGGCGTAGGAACCCTGTAGCACGACGCTTGCTTGTTGCCCTGGCCCGAGCCATGAACCATCAAGCCCGAAGTCTCAACTCTACATACTGAAACTTGGAGTTGAAGCGTCGCTCTGGTTGCTGGGCCCGTGCAGATGTGAGCCCTTATGTGTGTATACATGTGTATATATATATATGTATGTATATAATAACCAAAACAAAAATAAAGGTATATGGTATACATATACATGTGTATATATATACACGTACATAGATGTGTGTATGCCATGCATGTATGCATGTATTTCTGTATGCACATATACATGCAAGTGTGTGTATGTATGTACTTGTTTTATGTGTTTGTTTATTTGGGCAGTATTGAGTAGCTTTCACAGAAACTCACTTGAAACGTGTCATTCATGGTTCTTCAAGTTGAGTGCTTAGCTGCAACTATGGGTTCAGAGTGATTTAGGCAATTTGGCCTTACCCGCCTCCCCTCAGGTTGGACTTCCTGTAAGTTGACGTAGATGCTAGCCTTTGAGGCAAGATGTCCACATTCTAAGAGCATGTGTAGTCCAGCAGAGTCAACCTTTTTTGAGGCCACAACAGCCATGAACCCTTTGAACCCTCACTACTTTAAACTGCAGCCCTGGTGCCTTTAACCGGTGGCGGCCGCTTCCGCCCGTGCTTGCCAGGTCTGGAGGGAGCGAGTGACTCAAAGTAAGCCCGACCCCGAAGACGGAGGGTTGGTGGCTTTTTCGGACTAGAAAGGGTGTCTGGGTTGCTTTGCAGGCTTGCATGAGGGATCAAGACGGTTTCGATAACAGAGATGATTGGAAAAGGGGCTTTGAGGCATAGTATTTTAGGGTTAGGGGGGGTTCTTTTTGGATGAGGGTTCCAAGGTTTAGGGGTCGGAGATGCAGGATCCAGGATCTAGGCTTCGCTTTTGGGACTTGGGGTTTGGGCCGGTGAAGGGAAGTGAAGTTTCGGCTCTGTATGAGCAACAAGTCTGTTATATATATATATATGTTACATACACAGAACATACATACATACATACATACATACATACATACATACATGCATGCATACATACATACATACATACAGACATACATACATACATACATACAGACAGACATACAGACATACAGACATACAGACATACATACATACTACATACATGCATACATGCATACATGCATACATGCATACATACATACATACATACATACATACATACACATATATACACAGAGGTGTATATATATATATACGCATATGTAGGCAGTGCTTAAATTGGGCGTCTGCCCATATGCACAGAGTATTGGAGCATGTCTTCGTGTTTGCGGTTTGCAACCTCTTTTCATTCTGTATTGATTGGAGCGTGGCGTGATATGTGACATGACCGAGTCCGAACACACATGCAAGTAGACCGCAAATCCGGCATCCAGAGCTTCGCGCAGACCTTGCAGTCCAAGGCTTCAGGCTTCCGGGTTCGATGTTCCCGGCCTTGAGCGTATCGACTCGGTCTTGTATGTGTGCTTTGCGCTCTATCGCCCTGCTGTCCCGAAGACTCGTGTAGGACTCGAGGTTTCTTTGGGTCCCTGGTATGTGCTCGCACACCCTGCCTGCTAACGCGCTCAGCAATGCAGGAGGCGAAAATACCAGGTGTTTACATGATTGTACAAGCCGTTCTGTGGACTATTGTAGAACTGTAGAGTATGGGGGGTCTTGCTAACCATCGGAAAATGCGAGAGTGTAGTGCTTCTTTTGCAGACCCCTGTCAAAGCTGATCCGAGACCCTCAATCCAAGCCACGGCGCCATCATGCCTAAGGCAGAGACGTGTCGTCAGATCCCCGTGCCGGGCTCAGCAATGGCATTCTGCAGAGCAGGCATGTGATGAAGTCGTTTTGGAATGAGCTATACATCCTTGATTCTCATGGTTTAGTTGAGTGATCGTTCTTACAAAGAAGCCGTTTGCGATTGCAGCACGGAAAAGAAAGTGTAGCTCTATGAAGCGCCAAAACCAATGCTTCAGCCCGAGATTGGCATCAACTGGAGCTCAATCCCGAACATGTTTAACGAGGGGTATCGATAGACGACTAAATGCATCTGCAGCAGCACTACTACCGTAGTACTCAAGGTAGAGGTAGGTGATTCAACACTGGTACAAGTTATCCAATCGCTAACGGGGTCTGGATACAGCAGTCGTAGCTACAGAGAACAGCACGACCCTCAAGAACCAGAACAACATCAGCAAAAGTGCTGACACACGGAAGCACGAGACCAATGGCCTTACATAAGATTCTGAGAAGGAGGGATAGCTGTGGAATCGTGTCAGCACAGAAGCGACGATGTAAAACAATGTTAGAGCAGCGGCAGTCACCGGCAAGAGGTCTGCAAATAGTAGGAGCCTTAAACGTATCCTAAATACGACCTGTGGCCCCGAAAGGCTGTGCTAAATATTCCTTCGGCATTCCAGAAAATTTGATTCTGTTGCCTCCAACTGACATCGAGCAGCAGCAGGGACAGTAATCTTCATCATTGCAGTGGGAGCCAGGGAACTTCCGTGCTGGTCATGCCCCAAAATCAGAAATCCCCAAACTCTCCAAACCTAGACTCTACATCGTCAACCGGGAGCAAGGCGCAAAACACAGAACAAAATAGGAAACGGAGACCGAACATACCCAAACATCTCAGCAGGACCCCACGCGGCCGTCGGCGCTCGCGGTCTCGTCGCCGATCAAGGCATGGCATCGGGCCGTTTTAGGCCTCGCCCTGACCTTGAGCTAGGGTAGCGCTAAGGAATGTCGCATGCAGGGTTCACAGAAAAAAGGGATCCGGAGTTTGAATATCCTGAGGGTTCAAGTTCAGGTATAGGCGATTCTACTTTGGATAGATTTCCGGCTTGGGGGCTTTACTCCATCTTTGAAGGAACCTCATCAGACCAGTGTTTGCTTGGGAGTGTAGGGGTCTCGGGAGTCTTGGATGCAAACAAGAATTTTGTGTTCAGGGTTTCAGAGTCTAGAGCTTGCGCAGGGTTCCGTCAGGATTCATGGTTTAGGTTCAGGATCCCAAACCCTGCACCCTAAACCACCCTGCAATGCGGGCTCGTCCCTGCTAAGTAGGAGGGAACAAACCTAAGGCTAGCAGGAGCTTATTTGAAGCAGGGGTTAGGTGTTGTTTCACGGTTTTTGCCGTTGTTCGAAGTGCGGAACAAATTAATCTTGGGCTTCCCTGATTGTAGGCACTGAGCAAGTTTCGACTTCGGCAGGTGTTTACTCGGTGTCGTCGGGCTTAAACCCCCGAAACCCTACAGCTTAAATTCCCTCACGTTAGAGTAGGCTTCAGCGTGTAAGGCTTCAGAGTTTTTTTGGGGGAGCTGTATCGTTTAAAACTACGTTCTACTCATTGCAGTGTATTTGGGAATTCAAGGTCGGCACTACTTCAAGATTCATGGGTGGTGGGGTTATGAGCAGCATAACCCTACCAGGTTTCTCGCACCTTCCACTCAGTAAGTTTGTTTTTACTCCGCCCGGTCTTTGCAACCCTAAACCCCGAAACTCCTAATCCCCTAAACCCCTAAACCCTAAACCCTAAACCCCTAACCCCCTAAACAAAACAATCGCCATGCCTGCATTTGCGAGTGTGTGAGTCGAAACCCCTAAACCCTAAACCCCTGATCCCCTAATCTCCTAAACCCTAAACCCTTCAAATGGGAACCCCTCATTACTCATCCTGAACTCTCTGGTTTCAGCAACGAGGCTCCAGTTTGTCACTGCCGGGAAGCTCGGGATTCCTTCCTTTCTGGACATGTTGAAGCAAGCTTAGAAACAGGTGAGTGGCTGCATATACGGGTTATTAGAAGGGTTAG